TATGTATGTATGTAAACATACCAACACTAATCTATATTTATTTATATGTACATATATGCAGAAAGTAAATTCTTTGGTAACTACCGATAGTGCAGAGAATAAGTACTTACTTTGCTAACTACCGGTAGTGCAGAGAGAGGCGATGGTGACTACCGCCTAGGACAAAGTAAAAGTAATCGATGAATTACACGGCAGGTAGTCGATCGATAGTTGACGGAGTATACTTAGTAGCTACCGATTCATTAGTCGTGTAGTCGCTCCCCCGTACTGTAGGGTATATGCATATGTACGTATAAAATATACTTCTTTACTTCTTCAGAAGCAGAATCCGAGGATAAAGGACAATGTGCTACTACTTATCATTGCTGAAAAATCGTCTTGAGAAAACGCTGGATCAGTGCGTAATATTTTATTTAATATTGGCTTTCCGTTGAGCACAATCATTCAAAGGTAAAAAAATGCACAAGCCCTGGTGTAATATTTTATGTTTGTGTATTTGGGACTATGTAAAAAATGTTCACCCATAAAAATTATTTTATTGGTCAGGGGCGTGACACCTCATATACAAACGGAATTTTTCATACTACATACCTCTGGAAGTATGTGTGGTAGAGTAGTGGAACTTGGTATGGAGATATATAAAATCAATACTATACTGATGGAAAAAACGTGGGTTCTTGGAAAGGGGCCCGTGGCACCTCCTAAGGGGACTGAATTTTTCGTAATACCTCTTGTTAAAAAATTAACTTCAATTTAAAGTATTTTGTAAGGTAAATGAATTATTACAAAATGTATGTCGATCAAGTCGTTGTATTTCAGAAATGGTGATTCTTAGGAACAAAAGTGTTATAACGGTTTTTTGAGACAATCGCATGATGTATACTTTTGTCTAACCTATTTTTATGATAAACCTTACCGTTTAACTAAAAATTGGTTACAAAAATTATATTAAGCAAAAGAAAAATTAAAATCGCGCGAAAAGATCCAACTATATGCTTAGAAACTACATGAAATTTGCTAAAACATGCGTTTAATTTCAATACCTGACGAGCCGGTACTCAATTTTTTTTGTCAAATAAATTTTTGATAAAAAAAGAAGAAAATAAATATACCAAATAAATCATAAATACCTTCACTTGAATATTTCATGACACTAAGATAATGGAATTCAGTAGAAAAAGGAACACTTACTTTAAGGGGTTCAGCGCCAAAGGCAACTCAAATGATTAGTAAATAGCGCGCCGATTCTAGTATTTCTTTGGAAATTTACCGTTCGTAGAGAAGCGGGGTGAGTAAATGATAAAAAATTTTGTACTCATGACATTTACTTGCTCCTCTCTAAACCCAACCATTTTTTTTTTAATCAACTGTCACCATGCCTTTTTTCTACCTGCCTCCATATAGTCGAAACTTTGTAGCGTTCTCATATCAAAATCGGCATACAATTGCATTAGCCCTTCTGCAGTTGCTGGATTTTTTTATATAGTCAAAAACAGCAATAAAGACTACTAATTGTTATGACCGCCAAATATATAATACATTATTATTTTCATAATAAATTAGTGTAGTTTATTTAACATTTATATAACAACTCCTAAATACTTTCTTAATAAGTACATAAACTGATTACTATTTATAATTAATAATTAACAAACAATTTGAGTGCTTCCATGAAATAAATGGGTGCGTTGACACCAATTTAATTCCTTTTTTTTTTGAAGCTACGACAAAGAATGCAATTGTTTGGAACTTTATGTATGGTGAAGGCTAAAGAAATCTGACCACACACAACAAGTGTCAAGTGCCTCAGTAGCAGAAACGTCATAGGTTGACAAATGCAAAATAAAAGAAACAACTATTCAGTAAAAAACACAAAAAAATGCCAACAGAACACTCTGGCGGCTGCTTAGTTTAGTGGTTGTTGCTGTTGTTTACACGAAAGAATGAGTACAGTGGGGGCCGCGCTCAAACATGTTTGAGTGGCTTTTGAGCACTCACTTTCTGTGTGTGTGTGTGTGTGTGTGTGTGTGGGCATTGGGGAGCCACTGCGTTGCTGCTAATTTCATTTGCGTCTCCAACAGTTGCGACGAGTCTTGTTTGAAGCGTGTACGTGTACAGTTGGAAAGTGCGGCCGGTCAATTTATGGAAACATTTTTTTTTTTAAGTGAAATTAAAAGTTTATATCTAATTGAGAGCAAACGAAAGAAGTATGTAATAAATGCAAATAAAAATTAAAAAAAAATAAAATAAATTGCATATTTTAATGCAATGAAGTATTCATTTCCGAAGAGATGGCGAGAACTTAAGTGGAAACAATAAAATAAGCCAGATTTATTGAAGAAGTGTAAAACAACTTGAAATCTGATGTAAAATTTTGCTGCACAAAGTGAGTTGTTAGCGGCCATAAAGTGTCTGAGTGGCTCAGTGTGCGGTTATACTATACCCACCAAATTGATGGCTCGAAGTTTTCTACACGCTCGATTAAACAAAACGAATGTGACATTTTAGTGAATAATTTTTCAATAAATTTAAAAATGCAGTGTAAAGTGTAGAAGAAAAATTAATACTGAGCGTGGAAAAATATAAAGTGATATGTGCCTAAACTTTTCGGTAGCCAAATAACTAAAGTGAGATATGTTTATTAGACCCGACGCCAGCGGCTCTTTCGAACTTTGTGCTTGTGTTTTTTTTTTTTTTTAGTTTTCAGTCTGTTGCATCCTCACAAGCGCGTTTTTTGAGCTAACGAATTTTGACAGAGCTTAGAATACAAAGAATGGCGCAGACGAAAAGAAACCCGTCACATAAAAAATATCTACTTAAGTGATGAGAAAATAAAACCGAAAACATTAAAACTTTATTTTTTATAAAAAAATGTTTTTTTTTTGATATTTATTATGTCGTGAAGCCAAAGTTTTCCTTTGTTTTTGATGTTCTGCGGTATTCCGGTTTTCAAGTTTTTTATCGCTGATCCAGTACATGCAAGATTTATTTGCAGCTTGATATTTTTTGAACGCTTGTCAGCCTGCCCGCCCGCCCGCCAGATCGCTTCACCAACACCTTCAGTGTGATCTCCGTTTTGTTGTTGTTGTTGCTATGGCTGCTTTTCTGTTGTCGTTCAGATACGGTGCTTTGAGTATTTATTGTCCCGCTGTTGGTCTTGCTGTCTCTATATATATACATATATTTAGTATATTTTCTTGTTGTTCGTGCCTAACCCGTTTTCACACAAGTAGACACAAAGCGCCGACCGACCTGTGGCGGCAAGGCATGCGCTACATACTATGCACAGATCTCAAAGATACACTAGAGCCGACAAGGCAGCACTCAGGCGGCCGCGGCGACGAGTTAAGTGGAGCTCAAGCAAGTAAACAGTCGAACGGCCATAGAAAAGTCAGCAGTCAAGCAATGTTGGTGGAGCTGTGCTCCTGCCACTCCATTTCAGTGCTCGTATTGTAGTATGTGTGCTTGCCCTGTGAGGAAACGCACTAGTTCCGAACTACTTCGGTATTAGAGAATTTATAATAATGACTAGTGCGCGTTCATCATCTTTAACATGCTAGCAACTGGCGAAGAAAAAAAGAGAGATGTCCTATGAGGTGTCAACAGCCTTGCCACAGATGGGATTTTCCTACCAAAACTGGTAGGTGTATTTCCATTAGGTAGGTTGGTAGACTAGATTAGATTTTGGACGACGGGGGACGTACATGGATCAAGATCCTAAGAAAGTCTCAAAATAGGCACACACCCAACCATATTCCAGGCGGAAATCTATGCAATAGAAGTCTGTGTTCGCGAATTTCTTCGGCCATAATAAATATTATGCCGGATAGAAGGGCAGCCTTAAAGACCTCAGACTCTTTTTTTGACGATACAGATCTAGTACGGAACTAAAAATTTAGTTCATTAGTTCGGGGTTTCCCTGCAGGGTGATGTCTAAGTGGATGTTGGCTTAAATCTCCAAAGACGCGCGGGTAGATCTGCTTCATATCTGTGTGTGTTTATGTTTTTTTTTGTTTGCTTATATGTATGTATGTACATATAGTACGTACTTACCTACCCTGCACCAAGATTTAGAGACAGCTTGGCAAAACGCTAGTTCCACTCTACACATTTCAGAACTGTCTGTGAACTACTTCAGTTGCGCTGTCATAGATGTTACTCATCCTGGTCATGTGAAAGCTGACAAAAGATGCAAAAATGTACAATACTATATTTTTTCGATACTCTTAGACCCTAAAAGTAATAGAAAACTGTTTTCGGTTACTTAATATGTAATTCTTTATTTTATGAGGCAACTGCTAAAATATTTCCAAAAAAGTCGTTATTGGTAGCATTAATGTCATTTTTATACATAGGTAAATGCAAATTATAACCATAACATTTAGTTAATCTACACTTAACAGCAAAAGTCTGCGTATACCATTTCTTTTTTAATTATTCAGAATATATGAAGAGTTAAAATTTGTTTTATTTTTACTTTTTTATAAAAACCATTTGTCATGCTTAAAAAAAAATCTTATAAACCGTGTTTTCAAACTTTATACAAAACAAAAGGGAAAATGCCGGAGAGTCTATGTATTACATTTCAATACATTTAATACAATTTAACGCGGAGTTATCACAAATAAGCATTTAGACGTTTAGATTTTTAATTATAAGTACTACCGAAATATCCATTATACGTAACAAATATAAATTACTTTTAAGTATAACGGTTTTAGAAAATGAAGAAATAACTGACACTTTATGCCCCTAATATTAAAGCACTGTGCCTCAAAAAGTAAATTAGTTCAAAACAAATAGCTCTTAATTCACAAAATTTTTTTATTTACAAAATTGTATGCGTGCCTATTTAAAGAAAGGGCTTTATACTATAATTCTTAGAACCAGCTCAAATCTAACAACATTTGTTCTAGCCCGGAGGTGAACCTTTTTGAACCAGCTAGGAACTGTTGTTATATGAACTGTTTCAGAATCATCTAAGCCAGAATCAGCTCAGAAGAAGTTCAAAAGCTCTGCAGAGGGCAACAATTGTCACTTCGTAAGACATCGCCATGTTAAAAAGACAGTTGAAAGCATTGAGTTGGGATAGATGAAGAACGCAAGCAAGTTCTGAACCAGTTTGATTTGCTGCAGGGTACCTATCCAGCCATTTATCTGGTCATACATTAACTTGTTCATAAATATGTATGTACATATGTATGTATGCACCAGCTCAATTCAATCTGGTTGTTGCTGTTGTTGTTCTTCTTCTTTCTATAGTTGTAGTTGTTTACATGTTGGACAAACAAGTTTTTCGAAAATATCAGCAACACAACGCCAACAATATTGGTGTTAAGAATAATAACGCAGCTAAACATGGGTTAGTAAGAGCAAATAATAATAATAATAATACATAATAACAACAACAATTGTAGCCATATCAACACGTTGAAAAAGGTTTAGAGTTCAAGTGAAGTTGAGGATGATTTGGAATATCTGCTCATAAATACAAGCAAATGTACTATGTACATCATTTAAACTCATGCATCAGCAGTGATGAAAAACTTGTACATCTAATTTTGTTTAAGTTATACATTTCGTCTAGCGTTTACCGTAAAATGCCGTTAACTAAATTTTGAAAAACTTATCCATACATGTTTAGTTGCTTTTTTCGAGCAACGAACTTTGGCATGCAAAACTTCTATCTAAAAAAGTTGAAGACAATTTTTTTTTTAAATCTAAATATGACAAAAAATAAAAAAAAATACCGGCCGAGCCCAAAACGTGTCACTAATAGCCTCTATGCACTGCGAAATTTCGCTAGTTACACTTACTATGCAAGTGTAGACTGTACTTGATCCATTGTGTTCATGGGCGCCCTTGCTTTCGGGGTGCCGAATCGAAGTATCTTTGCACCGGACTATTATCATCCATATATAGAGAATTAACGCCTATTAAAATGCTTCGTTCATTAAACAGTTCGTCATGTCGTCTTCGGCGAAACCCGCCGCCCACGCGTAGAGGGCCAAAGACCTTACGTAGGACAGTTGTCTCGAAAACACCCAAAGCCTTTTTATTTTTGATATCGTCCATGCTTCTATGCCATATAAAAAAAAGAGCATAATTAGAAACTTGTGAAGCGTAATAGAGAGCTGTCTGCTTTTCAATTGTCTACCGATACCAAAGTAGCACCTGATGACAGTAAGTTGTTACTCTTCGATTTCTTGTTCCAAGAGAGACGGCCGCTTGCAGCCGCACCTACGAGTGAGCAAACGCTGCAGACTTCAGTGAGCCCATACGCCGAATAAGTTTGAGTGGCCCCACCGAAGCTTTCCTCTCTTTCTGCCATGACCCAAGTCTCCATTCGGACTGGTTACCACTTGTAGCACATGCCTTGCTCACGTTGTCCAGAGTAAGCGAACGAGAGCGCAGGAGTCGATATTGATTGAGTATAGCCTTGCAACTTTAACTGCATACCCAGAATAACGACTACATATAACCTATTGTTTACAGCCCCAAATTTGTTAAAACATTTTGAAAGATAACATTTCCAATTTAAGTAAGTAGTTTTATCTCAGGGAATGTTAAAGTAATATGTAAAAAACGCATTTTCGAAAAAGTATCATATAGAAGAGCTGTAGACCACTCCAAAAATAAGTTTGTTTCAAATCAATGATTCGAATATGTTTGCCTATGCCGGAACCGTTAGTAATCCAATCTGAAGTGCGGTTTGATTCAGTTCGGTTCAAATGATTCAATTGTGATCTCTTAGCATTCGATCACTGGTCCGAGTAAGTGTTAGAAAGGCAATTCACTGAATGTTCTAAAAAAAAGTGTTGATGACGACGATATGCAAGGCAAAGATTCCAAAAACTCTATTATGAACCCTGACTTAAGGTCCCGGATTAGACTTTTTAGTCAACAAACCTTGGAGATTATATAGAGCTAAAAATAAAAAGAAACTTTTGGATAATACAAAATGTATCAGAATGTGCTTATGTGAGTTACCACATTAAAAGTAAATTGAAATATTAAATTATTTTAACTATATAGAATACTTATTTAGAATTTTAATATTATTAAAAATCATTTATTGGAGTAGCACTAAATTTTTATTTTATTTTATTTTTTTTTCAAAAACATCATTTGTGCCAACTAATTACTTTAACGCAACAGATAATTTTGTTGTATTTCGCGGCACTCAAATATTTTAAAAGCTAATCACTTTGCATACGCTTTGCTGTTGCTTCATTCACTCGATAAGTATTGCTACATATTTTGCAATTTGCTTTAGTGTAAAATTGTTTGCAAATTTACAAATTGCCATGTGTTTCCCCACTCGAATATGCTCCAGCCACTGACTTGGCCAATAAATATGCCTTACGTATGTATGTATATATGTATGTATGTAGAGTGTGTCGAAAGTAACCACAGCAAGTAAAGTTCATATTATTGACACGGCAGAAACGCAAGAAAGTAAAATGTTAAGAGAATTGAAATTAAACGAAACAAAATGGAATGAAGTGTCGAAATATTCTTCGAAGCGTAAGCACAAAATAATGCAAATCAGCAGAAAAAAATGTGAAAGTCGACTAAATGTACGAATACATATGTACATATACACGCAAATATAAACTACCCATGCTTATACATACATATATATGTAAATACATTAAAATTTTGGCCTTACACTTTAGCGAAATTTTCCTGTTTTATATTGTTTCAAAATAAGTACATTAGTGTGGATAACTCTCCATACAAAAATAAAATAAAAATCGGTAGTGTCTTTCCAAAGCAATTAACAATTTTGATATTTTCAATGGAATGTCTGACAAAAAAGCTGCTCTTAAATTTAGAGTCGACTTTATTACGACTAAGAATGTGCCCCAATAAGTTTTATAATACCGGGGAAAACTGGCGACTTTTTTTTGGTGAGGCATCCTAATGCACATATGTACATACATATTTTGGGATAGTTATTTCTCTTTTTGATTTTCTTTCGCAATTTTTTAAATATTTTTTTTTTATATTAGCTCTTTGATATCGCGCATTATTATTTCGTTATCTTCACTTCATTTATTCCGTACAATTTTTTGAGTATTTTATTGTAATTATTCTATAACTTGATAATGCTATTTGGCATCGGATATATTTCAAAAAATACAAATACAAAAACGGTAAACTCACCAAAATAATACTTATAAATTAACAGCTAAGTGTGAAGATTTCAAGTTTAAATTGATTTGAATGCCCTACTTTATCATTCATAGCCTCTAAAAAAAATAATTGGTTACAGAAAAAATTACAAAACTCGCTGAAAAAATGTGAAACAAACAAATCGGTACAACATTTGTGGTAATATATATAATTCATATATGAATTAACTTAACTTAATTGAAAAAAGTGTGACGCAAAAATTAAAACTTAAAGAAAACAATACTCATCCAATTCGAACTTAAAAAAATAATTATTTTTTAAGAAAACAGAAATTGTAAAAAAATTTAACAAAAACCAGAACTATAGCATTAAAACGAAACGAGAATGGGTTTTTCATCGGCCCTACAGGGCCGTGCCGCGCACGAGGCATTAATCGTGCGCCAAGATGCCGAACTGCGCCTCATGGAGACCATGAAGCGGTCCATACAATTGAAAGCCAAGTGCGATCGGGAATATGCGATCGGTTTGGCTGCGGTTGCACAACAGGGTATGAAAATCGATCGCGCCGATGAAATGCAAGGTGAGTACGATGGTGTAATAATTTGTATTTAAATATACATATGTACATACATACATTTAAACATTGAAAATGCAATATCATAAAATTAAGTAAATAATTGGGTAAAATTATTATAGTAATATTTACATTAGGGCTGGGCCATTATTCGATCATTCAAGCTAGCCGAAATACTACACAAGGGAACACAACGTTACAACGTTATACGGTCTAAAAGCCAGTATCTATCCTAACTGGATTTTGCTCCACCTCATCACAATTTTTTTACAGTGGGTTCATGTTTTTACTTTTTTATACGGGGACCTTTAGTAAAATATAGAAATTGTTTCGTAAAATATTTTGACCCCTTAAATCCAACAATAAAATGCACCTCTGACACTTATTTTGGAGAAGCAGATGCAAGCTCATTATAAATTGTAGATAGAGGGTTAAAATGTTCTGCAAAAATATTAATCAGGAAATTTTACCACGGCTTTTCAAATATGATAAAAAATTGCGATTAAATCTGACTCCACTATAGGTATTCATTCTAATCGAATTTTTGTCTTCACATCGCACCCTAAATCGAAAACAGTCACAATTCAAAATTTTTCGAAATCAATGTTATCTTTTTTAAATATTTGCGAGCTAAAATTTCATTGTTATTATTTTATAAGAACACGGATCATTCTTTAAACAAAATTCCACGAATTTTAAACTTTTTAATCAGATTTTTTTAAAAAGCTCCGTACTTGAAATTAAAAAAATCTGATTAAAAAGTTGAAAATTTGTTGAATATTCCTTAATTTTGTGTAAAGGTTGAACCCTTGGTTTATATGATTTTGTTAAAGGATGATACTCCTATAAAAATTAACAAGCAAATTTTATCTTGTAAAATATTGTGAATGTAGTAGACGCTCAAAAATTAGAACTCTCAGAAATTAGAATTAGAGTAAAAAAACATTTTTCAGAAAGTGTGTCAAATTTGCGAGTGTCTACTGTATTTAAAATATATATGGTGTATCAAGACTTTTTCAGCTAAGTGTGTAAAATGTATATGTATAAATTCGTAAAAAGTAATTTTTAAGTAAAAAACACAACCGACTTCAATTCTAATATAAAAATCATCAGACTCTTAATTTCTTCATGATTCAATGATCGGACCTAAATAAAATTAGTATGTGGTGGTCATTGCGACCCGATCTTTCCGATAAGAAAACATTTATCGAAATCGCTCCAATGTTATGCGATAACATACAGACATAAAAAAAAATAAAATAAAATATTCCTACGAACAGATAACCTCGTCCTTTTTTAACCCCTGTTTTAGAATAAGCTTACTTAAGGCCGTTTTCTCGACTACCTGCAAAAATTATCTTACAAAAGACTTTAGGTTGGTTTTTACTCGGTTTATGATTATTAAATTATTTAATTAATTTTGCTTTGGTTCTGAGTAATCAAACTTTTCAATTACGAGCTAAATTGCGTAATCGAAAGACTGGTTAACTAATTTTTAGAATAATCAATAAATTTATCAAATAATTGCACATCCCTAATTTATAAATATAGTCATCTGAGGGTGTAAAGGTGCCAAGTCCATTTTTTTAAATTGTTCAGGAGGGACGAAAAAACGATGTATTTAGTTTCGTATTACCGGCCATTCTGCATCAAAAATTAAATTTTGAAAAAAAAATAATGGACTTGGACACGTTTAGTTAGTGATATGCATATGTAAGCATCTATGTATTTATGTATGTATTAGTATTATAGTGATATGTATGTATGCAAATAAATGTTTTGATAGTTTATCTTCAAGTTTTCTTCTTTGTGATTTTATCTCAACTCAGATAGGTTCCATATGCGTATACATACATACATACATCGCATACATTCTTTTATACATACTTATGTATGTATTAAGTATGCCTGTAGCGTTGTTGCATTATGCATGAAATAAAGGATGATAAATATGTTTAATGCTAAAGAAATAACAACGGCGAGTAGTCTAAGTTCTTATCAGTTGAATATTAGTTTTACGTCACACAACAGCTGAAAGCGTCATAATTTAACTTTAAACAGTTTTTTCAAACTAAAAAAAAAAAGAAAACATAGCTGCAAGTGGCTCGGCTGGACAAAGCGTGGGGAAGCACAATCTTTTATCGGAAAAAAGTTTTAAACACAAAGTTGCATACACACTGCAATCAAATGTTTAAGAATATGTACATACATACATACTTACATATGTAATAAAGTGGAAAATATACGTATGAATAATGTACATAAGTATGTTTTATTAAATTATCTATATACATACTGACATATACATATGTACATATATATTACATATAAATACTTACTATATACATATCTATCATTTATATGTGCTTAGGTCTATTAATATTGCAATATTATTTACTGGAATGAAAACTTATTGCCATGGGATTGCCAACTCATACTTCGTATATCTTGTACGATACTTATTTTAAAAAATAAGTTTCTTGCGTAAAATCGCTACACAAATCAAAACACAAGAACAGAATGTGTCATGAAAAAAAATTCGCATGTGGGCTGTATAAAGACGTCAATGCAAATACATAGCTTGATTCTTACAAACTGGAGATACATACATACATATGTATGTTCGTAGATTAATAACACTAATCCTCCATGTGTTTATTCCAAAACAACCGTTATGTTCGTACTTGATACACTTTTGTATTGACAGCTTGAATGGTTTTCATTTGATTTTAAAAGCCATACCAGTTTTGAAAAGAGGGGCTTTAGGGATCTTTTAAATGATATATAACAATATATTTTTGGACTTAGCTTGTCGGAAGTTTTCATTGGTTCATTTTTAGTAATCCCCTATTTTTCTTAATTTTTTCGACTTTGGCCATAAGTAGTTGATCTCAAAAATGTCTATATAACTTGCCAAGTATGAGCTATTCGACTGTTGAGTGGAAGATCGATCTATCTCGGCAGCCAGTTCGAAAACGCCCTATCGCAAAAAACTTTTCAAAAACGTCCTATTTCAGAAAACGCTTTATCTCAAAAAACTTTTCAAGAACGCCCTATTTCAGAATTTTTTTGAAAAACACTCTATCTCAGATTTTGGGTGAAGAGGGCGTCTATTTCAGAATTCGTTTCAAAAACGCCCCATAACAGCATATTTTCAATACATTTTTGAATCGAATTCTGAAATAGGGCGTTCTTCAACCAAAATCTGAGATAGAGTGTTTTTCTATAAAATTCTGAAATAGAGTGTTCTTGAAAATTTTTTTGAGATAAAGCGTTTTCGAACTGGCTGCTGAGATCAGCAGTCGATTTATTTTCGAATAAATTGGTGCCTCACCTAATGCCATTGCATAAAAAATGTCGAAGTTAAGCAAATTAAGCAAAAATATGTTCTTGAATTTATATGCAGGTTTGTTCGTCGAAAATACCGCAAGAATTATCCAACACTCAAAATATCAGAGAGTAAGAAAAAATTCTCTCAAATTCTCTGTCATGTTGAGAAACTTGCAAATTTCTGCACGAACGCAAATTTGCGGGAATTTGCAAGTTTCTCTGCCGGCTGGTGTCCACGGTTGCATTTCAAACATTATACATTTTTATAGAATTTTTAAAATTCTTTCAAATGGATAAAAACAGGATATACATACATGTATATTTCTTGTTGTTCTGACTTTCTTTAACATACATTTCAATTTCTTTATCGTAATAGCTGTCGGGTTTCTTAAATCGACTCTGGTTGCAATTGCATTCCGATTGCGAATAGAATTTTTCTCAGCCGAGTTAAGTTCAAATCATTGGAATTAATTAAATTTATTATATCAGCAAGTACTTACTTCCTTTTTTCATAAAAAATCGCTCATGTTTATAAATTTTTAAATTTAACGAACTTATTTATTCAAATTATCGTTGTCAAAAATACAACCATGTGCCACAATCATATGTTTTTCGTGATTGCAAATTCTTGCTGGCTAAAATTTTTCCAGCAAGAATTTGCAACTTCTCTCATTAGAACTGTCACGTAGCGCTCTCAGTTTTTGAGTGAGAGATAATTTTTTGGTCTGCACGAATGCGATTTGGGCAAAATCATTACAATTCGTACAAATTCGTAAAAATTTTTTGCTCGACGACATGTTCGAATACTCTACCGAATACATGAACACTTCCAGATTAAGTTCTTAAGTACTTTACCATGAATACTTTCAGAGATATGCATGTTTGTATGAGAGGTGTCATGCCCTCTTTTTATGTCGAAATTTTTTTGAGCCTTGTCCGAAATTTCAAATCGTTCTCGAGTTATGCGAGATTATCACATTATATTAAACAAAAAAAAAGGAAAAAAAACGAAAATAGTAAAAATGACGTGTGCCTATTAATTTTCACATGACTGTATGTATATAGAAAATTCCATGTCAATCGAATTATAACTGTGATTAAAAATTGGTTTCCAAAATTTTTATATATTTTTTTGTCTCGGTTGACTTGGAATTTTCCAAATACCGGGTATCCTAGACTACCCGTCCACCACTTCTAAATCAGAGGAAATTTTTTTAAATTGTAAAACGCGAAATAATTAATAACCAAGTCGGGGATGCTCTATCTTTTGGTCGTATTACCCACTTCCAGTCTCGTCCGGAAGTGAACTAAATATATAATTAGATCGGAAGTCCATTCTTTTAACCGGAAGTCCATTCCAGACCCAGAAAACTGCGAAATGTTTGCTTGGTTTCGTTTTCGCGATTTTTTTCAGTAAACGTTTTTAATTGAAACCATTTCATACGTATGCCTAATGTAGTATACTAATTGTCACTCGGTAAATCCAAAAATTGAAAACTTTCGGATCGGTTTCTTTTCGTCCGAAATAGAAAAAAATCGATGAGGTTGTTCACACTTACTCGGATATCAAATTATCTGGTTAAAAATTATTATTGTGTATTTTATTTATAACCAACCGCATAACCACTGGGGATGTTAATTTTTCCACTTTTTACGATCCCGGAATTTTCGAGATG